AGACCAGGCTGGCCTTGAACTCACAGAGATCTGCCTGCCTCTGCCTCCCAAGTGCTGGGATTAAAGGCATGCGCCACCACACCCGGCTTATTTTTAAATTTTTTTATTTTATTTTTTTTGTGTGTGTATTATTTCATATAGAACATTCCAAACAATCTTATTCATCTTTATACCCACATCCCAAATGGCACCCTCCCATAACCTTCCCCCCCGAAATTGGAGCCCATATATCCTGTCATCCCTGTTCCTGTCCACTGTGTTGTCAGTGCCCCCAACTATTCTCCAGTGCAAGTCCATCCACTGAGTCTAGTCAGCCTATCTAGAATTCCTTATTTTAAGAAGATCAGCTATTCCTCAGCTAGCAGCAATCAGTTGCCAACATTGCTTTAGATAAGACTGGGGTCTGCTGTTCATTTTCCCAGTTCTATGCTGGGTTACTGTCTGGAAGTCTCTTGGGCCACCCTGGCCAACAACTCAAAGGAAGGTATCTCCTGTCTGGCATTGTTTCTTGTTATGTAGCCTTTAGCTATACACATGGTCTCTTGAAGAAATATACTGATCACACCAGGTGTGGTGGTGCACACCTGTAAGTCCCAGCACTTGGGAGGCAGAGGCAGGTGGATCTCTGTGAGTTCAAGGCCAGCCTGGTCTACATAGTGAGTTCCAGGACAGCTTGGGCTACAGGGAGACCCTGTCTCAAAAAGACAAAAAAAAAAAAAAAGAAAAGAAAAGAAATATACTGATCACTTTAGTCTTTGGTTACACTTTCCTTTTGGGTGTTTAAGACAATACAGTTGGCCCAAATAAACCAATTTATATTTACTCTTAAGGTTGTTTGAGGATCTGTTCCTCAGGAGTTACATGGGCTTGGGAAGAGCCCCTTTACCAGCTCCATCTACGTGAAGATAAGTCAAAGGCCCTGCTCGACCATGGCTGGCTTCACTTGGAAGCATGGAGGAAATGTTTCCTCTGTGTTGACCCTCTTCCTTGTAGACTGGACACTGGTTCAAGTCCATCTGGTGGGGTCTCCATGGCCTCCCTGAACAAGAGCACAGGTGACTCACCACAGTTACAGAACATTTTGAGAGATGCTCCATAGTCCCCTGGAACTTAGTCAACCTTGGAGGGCAAGGAGCAAAAACTGTCCTTTAAGTCCCTCTGACCAGATTAGTATAGGCCTCAAAGTATGGCTGTTAAACATCCAAGATGGTTAGTTCCATCCGTCTGGTACTTTTAATTACCATGCACTATGTAAGATAAAGCTTGGGCAAAAACCAAACATTCTCAGATAAACTTTGACTAGACATATATTTTGTTCCTTGAACTAGTTGTATGTATAATTTGTCAGTAGGTTCTTGGTCTAATATGGTTCCCTTTTGTTTTTTTCATTTTTTTTTTTTTTTTTTGGTCTTTTTTGAGACAGGGTCTCCCTGTCTCAAAAAAGACAAAAAAAAAATTTTTTTATTTAGTATTTTTATTTTATGTGTATGTATTGCCTGCATGTCGGTAAGTGCACCCGTGTCATGCAAAACCCATGGAAGACAGAAGAGACTGTCGGATCCCCTGGAACTGGAGTTAGAGACAGTTGTTAGCTGCCATGTGGGTACTGGGATTCCAACCCAGGTCTTCTGAAGGAACAGTCAATGTTCTTAACCGCTGAGCTACCTCTCCAGCCCCTTCCCTCTGTTTTCTTTAAAACTAGCTAGACATTATTTATCTCTCTCACTATCTAACCCTTCCACCATGGTTTCCCCATTTAAAGTGACCCCATTTTTCCCTTAATAATATCCTTCTCCTATGTAAGGGGTGTGTGTGTGTGTGTGTGTGTGTGTGTGTGTGTGTTGGGAGTTCCAGGTGGTTGTGAGCTACCCAATGTGGGTTCTGGGAACTAAAAGAATAGCAAATGCTCTGAACCCTTGAGCCATCTCTCCAGCCAACATTTTATTTTTATTTATTTTTTAATATTTATTATTTTTATGTGTATGTGCGTATTGCCTGAATGTAGGTAAGTGCACCCATGTCAGGTAATGCCCTCGGAGAACAGAAGAGGCTGTTGAATCCCCTGGAACTGGAGTTATGGACAGTTGTTAGCCGCCATATGGGTGCTAGGATTCGAACCTGGGTCTTCTGCAAGAACAGCCAGTGTTCTTAACCACTGAGCCATGTCTCTAGCCCCAACATTTGATTTTTAAACTGGGTTGAATGGATAGCCTATTCAAAATCTGATGAAATATTTATTTTACTAAACAATCCATAAATGTTAGTTCATTAAGTGTGCTTAAAATTGTCCAATTAGGGGGTGGAGAGATGGCTCAGCAGTTAAGAGCACTGACTGCTCTTGCAGAAGACCCAGGTTTGATTCCCAGCACCCACATGGGCGGCTATGAACTGTCTGTAACTCCAGTTCCAGAGGAATCCAATGCCCTCTACTGACCTCCGTGGCATTGCATGACACAGGCGCACTCACATACATGCAGGCAATACACTTATACACATAAAATAAAAATTACCCAATTAATGCCAGGGCATAGTGGCACACGCCTTTAACCCCAGCACTCTGGAGGCAGAGGCAGGAGAATCTCTGTGAGTTCAAGGCCAGCTGGTGCTACAGGGAGACCCTATCTCAAAAAATCCAGAAAAAAAATCCAATCATCAGTGATTGTTATATTAATAATAATCTGTTAAAAAGCCTTTTAAAAATAAAATAATCTGAGGCTCTGGGGTGCAGGAGATTCAAAATTCATGGCAGCTACTTGGTTCCCCGGTTGTCACCGATGATGCTCCTCTGACTGCCAGGGCAAGTGGAGAAACTTCTCGCTGCTGGGGAAGCGACTCAAGCCACTACCAGCTGTTGCAGAAGTGGGTGAGCATGTTGGAGCGCCTTGACCTAGAACATGTTGGAGATGGGTGCTGAGCCGCCAGAGGACACAGAGGCTATCAACCACCCCTGGTATTCCTGTGTTCACGCTGCCACTGGCCACTGGGCAACACACTGAGCTGGGTGACCAGCCAGGACACCAACTGCATCCTGCTGCACTGTGTTTCCTGTAATGTTTATGTGGATAAGGAACAGAAACTAAACAAAAAGCTGAAAATTCATTCTTGAGACTCTGAACTGTGCCAGCTGCTCCCTCAGCCTTGGCTACGTGTACAGATGCACTCCCAAGGACCTAGATTACAAAAGGGACTTGTTCTGCCTCAGCATTGAAGCCATCAAAGTTATACTTTAGGGTCCTCTAAAAAGCAGATTATATCAGAAGGTAAGGAGCTTTTTAATCTTGAAAGAAGAGTTGAAATAGCAAAGTTTCTAAAACAGATTGAAGATGTCTTGACAGCATTGCAGACGAAGCTGTGGGAGGTTGAATCGAAACTGTCCTTTGCTAGCTGCAATGCCTGAGCTCCGTCTCATACTTCACCCTGCCCTGGTCCCTATCTCCAGAACTGTAGAAATCTGTCTATAGCTATGTGTTATGGTAAAGAAGTAACAAATAACAGAATTATTTGTTAGAACAATTTGAAAACTTGCACAGGAGTAGAACAATGTGTAGTAAGATCCCACTGTGCTGTTTAATTCTACTTTATGCTTAAATCCGGAAGAATACTTACCCCATATTGAATTCTTTTTTAATATTTATTACTTTTTATTTTATGTGTATGTGTGTATTGCCTGCATGTAGGTAAGTGCACCCATGTCGTGCAATGCCCTTTAAAGCCACTTTATAATACATGCCAAAAATGAAAATTGGGAAGTTTTATTTTGATAAAAAGCTAGGTTTTTCTGAACTATTATCTGTTAAATTCATTTTTGTGTATGCGTTTTCTATTTTTTTTTAAACTATGTCACTTTTTAAAAATTCAAGGAAATTGTAAGTTTTTCTCACCTACTTTGTGGTTTGGTCTCTGAAAATTAATGCTTAAACCAACCTGGAAAAGCTGGTCAGCTGAATTATTTGTTAGAACAATTTGAAAACTTGAACAACGTGTAGTAAGATCCCACTGTGCTGTTTAATCCTACTTTATGCTTAAATCCAGAAGAATACTTACCAAAGAGACTAACAGTCATCTCTAAGGGTAAGATTCTATGGAATTTATTGGATTTTCATTTTCTATAATCTAGAACTTTTATAGTGAATATGTATGATTTTTACAGTCAGGATGAGAATAAAGATTTTTTAAAGTTAAGAATAAGTAAGAAAAAAACAAAATAATCTTAATAGATATATGGTTCTCATTACAATGATACCTCTTCAATACTTCTATAAGACAGTTTAGCAATTCTATAGAAATCTTCCTAAATTTAAACACCACTGATCCAATATTGTAATTAATTTAAATACAAACTACTGGTGGCAGAGGCCTTTAATTCCAGCACTAGGGAGGCAGAGGCAAGCAGATCTGTGTGAGTTTGATGCCAGCCTGGTCTACATAGCTAGTTCAAGACCAGCTGGGGCTAGAGGCCTATCTCAAAAAAAAAAAAACAAAAAAAAAAAACTTATGTATCACACCTAAAGACAAGATTTAATAAAGAGAATAGTTACGTTCACTAATACTTTGCCAGAACAGTTTACAAATAGTATTTTACTTCCTTTGTTTTTGATACAAGGACTCACTGTTGCCCAGTCTGGCCTATATAGGCAGGCTAGCCTCGAACTCAAGATAATCCTCCAACCTCACCATCGTAAATGCTAAGAATACAAGTGTGGACTACCACACTCAGCAGTCTACAAGAGTATTTCACATGACACAGCATTCATTCTTACTTTGTCAAATTTTCCAAGGCTGCTTTTTGTCCGGGGATCTCCCTCCTCAGTGCCAGTCATTGCTAACTGCTGCAAAAGGCGGCCAACCTGCAAACAAAAGCAGTGATAGGGCGACATAAGCTACAGATACAAACACTGGTCTACAAAGCACTCCTATTCTAATCCAGAAATCTGGTTTCATAAAAATATTCACACTCTCTGATCAGGCATACAAAATAGTATCCCCAATAAAATGTGTATCTTGTCAGTTTTTACTGTTTTCAAACCAAGAGTTAGAGGAAGTAGAAAATTTTGCTGTAATTTCTCCATAACACATATGGCATCAACATTAGGAAATTAAAAGTATAATAGATTTGTTTCTGATACTATACTTCTTGTATATGTAGAATTTTTTTTATTTTTTTATTTTATGTGTATGAATGTATTGCCTGCGTGTATGTGAGTGCACCCATGTCCTGCAATGCCGCGGAGGTCAGAAGAGGGCTTCGGAGTCCCCTGGAACTCTCCAGCCCCATGTATGTGTAGGATTTTTTTTTTTGGTCTTTTTGAGACAGGGTCTCCCTGCAGCCTCAGCAGTCCTGGAACTATGTGAACTAGGCTGGCCTCGAACTCACAGAGATCCGCCTGCTTCTGCCTCCCAAGTGCTGGGATTAAAGGTGTGCACCACCACACCCAGCTTGTGTAGAATTTTTTAAACATAATAATAGTATTATTTTGAGTATGTGTGTGAGTCTGGCACATACGTGCTATGGCTATGGCATGTGTGTGAATGTTAATACTACTAATAATGAGGAGGAGGATAATATTATTTTGAGTATGTATGTGAGTGTGGAGGTTAGAAAGAAATCTTTCAGGAATTGGTCCTCTCCTTCTAGCATGGATTTTGGAGATTACAAGAGGCTATGTCCTCTCCTTCTAGCATGGATTCTGGAGATTACATGAGACTATGTCCTCTCCTTCTAGCATGGATTCTGGAGATTACGAGAGGCTGTGTAAGCAAGTATTTTTACCCGATGAGGCATTATTCAGGCCCTAGTTTTTGTTTTTTGTTTGAGATGGTGTCTCCTAGTAGCCTCAGCTGGTCTACAACTCAGTATGTAGACCAGGCTGGCCTTGAACTGGCAGATGTTGCCTGCCTCTGCTTCCTGAGTGCTGGGATTAAAGGTGTGCACCACCAGGCCTGACCCAGGCCCTAGAAATTTTTTAATTAATCTGTAAAGACTAATTTCACTCATTAAACAACTTTAAGTTTAACATGAAATATGTTTCCCAATAAAAGTTCACAAAGCACTCAAGGAAGAATATTTTTCCCAGATCTTTTTTTTTTTTTTTTTTTTTTTTTTTTTGAGAGTAGATCTCCTTGGTCTTAAATTTAAGATCCTTTTTCTGTTTGTAGGTTTCAAAGCAAATAATTTTGGTGAAACATAAGCTGTTAAATAAAATAAACACTAATTCACAGAGCAAGTTTCTTACTGCCGAAAGCGAACTGTTAACCTACTCTTTAGGGACTTATTCAAAATATCATTATAGCATCATTTTCTTAATATCTGAGACAAACCCTCTTTTCACTCATTTTTGAAGTATGTAACTCAATATATACTAAATGATGAAAATAAAATTACAAACACACTACTGTAAGAATATGTAAATACTGGGGCTGGAGACATGGCTCAGAGATTAAGAACACTGGTTGTTCTTGCAGAAGACCCGGGTTCGAATCCCAGCACCCACATGAAAGCTAAAAACTGTCCATAACTCCAGTTCCAGGGGGTCCAACAGCCTCTTCTGACCCCCAAGGGCATTGCATGACACGGATGCACTTATCTACATGCAGGCAATACACACATACATGTAAAATTAAAAAAATAATAATAAATACAATTGTTTTAAAAAGTTAAAAAAATAAAAAGAATATGTAAATACTGCTGGGTGTGGTGGTGTTCACCTTTAATCCCAGCACTGGGGAGGCAGAGGCAGGGAGATCTCTGTGAGTTCAAGGCCCGCCTGGTCTACATAGTGAGTTCCAAGCCAGCTGGGGCTACAGGGAGACCCTGTCTCAAAAAACAAAACAACAAAAGAAGAATATGTAAGCATTTCATAAATGATAAAAAATTAACATTTTTATTTCAGGGATTTCTATATAGTGAATTGCTAGATACCCCAAGATGACAGAACCAATAATTTTTAAAGTATATTTTATTTTATCATTTTTATTTTATGTGTAGGAGTATATTGCTTGCATGTGTCATGTGATGCCTGCAGAGGTCAGAAGAGGGTGACAGATTCCCCTGGAAATGGAGTCACGGATGGTTGTTAGCTACCATGTGGGTGCTGGGAATCAACACAGCTCTTCTGTAAGAGCAGTCAGTGCTCTTAACTGCTGAACCATCTCTCCAGCCCCCAATAATTTTTTTTAAAGGCTTATCACAGCCCATGCACCTTTAATCCCAGCATTTGGGAGGCAGAAGGAAGCAGATCACTGAATTCAAGGCCAGCCTAGTCTACATATTAAGTTCTAGGCTAGCTAGGGCTACATAGTGAGACCCTGTCTGAAAGACAAACAACAACAACAAAAAGAAACCTTGGTTTATTCTGAATGAAGTTGTTCTCTTCTTTATTGTATTTCAGAATAAGATGTGATTAAAAGGCTGAGGACTGCATGGGCTCAGGAGATAGTTCCATGGGTAAGAACATCTGCTATAGAAGCATGTCAGCTTGAGTTTGAATCCTCAGCATCCACATAAAAGCCAGATATGGTCACATGGGCCTATAATTCCAGCATTGAGGAACAAAGACAGACAGATCCCTGGGAACTTGCTGGTTAGCCAGCCTAGCCAAAATGGTGAGCTTCCAGTTCAGTGAGAGACACTGTCTCAAAGGAACACATATATGACTGCCACAATATGCAAGAGGAAGTCAGAGGACAACTTTCAGAAGTTACCTTCTACCATGGGTTCGAGGAACTGAACTCAACTCATCAGGCTTATGCAAGTGCTTGTACCCCCTGAGCCACCTCCCTGGCCCAGAATTTCAAAATTTATAGGAAGGTAATTTACTACATATATTAATATATTCTTAGGGTGGTATATAGTCAAACACAATAACATTTCTGCAATAAACCTAAGTAGTCACTAGCAGTAAAAAGAATACTAATTATGTTTAGCTTTGAGTTCAGTTTAAATTTTGAGGAATAAAAAGACATTCTCAGTTTTCAAGCCTAGATTTTGAAATTATAAAAAAGGTATGACAATCTTTTTGTAGAAAATTTAGTCAATTATGGATTTAAGTGTTCAAGGATTCCATTTTAAAACAAGTGCAAAATGTTTCATAACTACAATGATTCAAAATCATAGTATAATTGCTTTTGTTTCATGAGAAGCAAATATTTGGGACAATTTAAGGAAAAGAAATGGTAAGACCATATGAAAATTGTCATTATTTTGTTTCCACTCCATTGCATAACAGGAACTGACTTTAAACTGAATGCCACATTAATGACAGGAAGAACATACCTGCATCAGGTTAAATCTCGCCACCTCATTGATTGGAGCATCGGCTATTATTCCATACTGCTCTGGATTGACAACTGCAGGACAAATGAAGCAAGCCAACAGAAGATCAGTGCACATCGCTCTGACCTCCCCAACTTCCAGTCTATCTACACAGGAGAGAGTTTTGTACATTTGTGACACAATCCACCTCAAACTATGTGGAAAACAGTATGTGTTCTGTTTGAGATAACCAATAAATTTGTTCACCAGAGCAACCAGTTTGGCCTCATTGGAATCCACCATTTCCTGCACCTTTTGCCTGAATTTATCTGAGCCTTTCTCTCCAAAGAGTTTTTCCTGTTGGGCTGGGGAAAATCTCTCAATTAGCTTGTTTGGATCTGTTTCCAGATGATCTTCATCTTCAACAAGGAGCTGCATGATTGGCTCATGCAAAGTAGCTGTGAGGAAAAGTTTGGCAGAAAAGAGTCCTTCAGAAAAAAGCTTGAATAAAATGCTGAAGGCACAAGTTCCTCTCCTCAAAAGTCGCCTAGGGTTATCACTTTCTTTAAGTTCAAATTCAATCAAGTATCGTAAAACCTGAAGGAGGTAGCTTTCATCTTCTTGCATAATACAGTTGCCATACAGGGAGGTAAAAACTGTATAAATAACACTTTGTGTATTCTCCTGATTGAGTTTCTCTCCAGCAACCAAAGAGGAGGCAATAAGACGAGGATTTTCTCTTAACCGACTTAAGAATTCTCCATAAGCAGTTTCCTGAAATCCCAGTTGCTTATATCCATCAACAAACTGTGTATCTTCCAAAATCTTGGCATGTTGGCAACACTCAGCAGGGGAAGCTTCAGCACTAAGAAATATCAGCACACAAATCAGCAAACAGACAAAATAATGTTAACAACAATAATACTTCACACTTAAATGAAGAAATTGGAATCCTAATATGCCAACATGATCTTCTTAAACTGCTAAAATCTGAGACCAAGAGCACATGAATGAAGACAGACAAGCCTAAAGTAGAGGAAGCCAATTTCTTCATAGTGAACAAAACTTAAGTGAAAAGCATCAATTTGTAACCACCAACAACTACTGTCCAGAGCTACACCCTATGGATTAAAATTTAAAATTTGTAGCCGGGTATGGTGGCACGTGCCTTTAATCCCAGGACTTAGGAGGCAGAGGCAGGTGGATCTCTGTGAGTTCGAGGCCAGCCTGGTCTACATAGTGAGTTCCAGGACTACAGGGAGACCCTGTCTCAAAAAGACAAAAAAAAAAAAAAAAGATAAAAAATTTTGTTACAATTAAAAATGGCTTATTTACTGACATAAGAAAATTTACGAGTATAAGCCGGGCGTGGTGGCACATGCCTTTAGTCCCAGCACTTGGGAGGCAGAGGCAGGCGGATCTTTGTGAGTTCCAGGACAGCTGGTGCTACAGGGAGACCTGTCTCCAAAAAAGGACAAAAAAGAAAAAAGAAAAAAAAGAGAAAAGAAAAAAAGAAAATTTATGAGTATTCAAGCACTAAAAATTAATAAGAGGTTGGGAATGTGGCTCAGTTGAAAGAGTGCTTGCCTAGCATGCACAGGGCCCTGGGTTTAATTCACTACATGGACTATTTTAACCATTCCAGAATGCTTTTGCATGACCTTTCCAATCAAAATACTACACTGGAAAGCCCAAAAAGTGGCTATTATTCAGAATAATATAATCAAAGACTGGTCCTGCCTCTTAAAATTTCACACAAATGGGCTGGAGAGATAGCTCAGCACTTAAGAGCACTGGCTGCTCTTGCAGAAGACCCCTGTTTGATTCCTAGCACCCACATGCTGGCTAACACCCATTCAAAACTCCAGTTCCAGGAGAATCCAACAACTCTTCTGATCTCTGTGGGTATTACATAACATGGGTGCACTTAGACGCATGCAGGCAATTTATTCCTACACATAAAATAAAAATAATAAATTTTAAAAATATTTTTAAAATTTCACATAAATACAATTATACAGTATGTATTCTTTTGTATCTGACTCTTTTTATCAACATTATATTAATATTCTTACAGTTAAAAATTGCTTCTTGGGAGGCTGGAGAGATGGCTCAGTGGTTAAGAGCACTGACTGCTCTTCCAGAGGAGAGAGTTCAATCCCCAGCACCCACATAGTGGCTAACAACCACCCATAACTCTAGTTCCAGATCTTGATGCCTTCTTCTAACCTCCACAGGCACTGTATGACATGAGTGCACTTACACACATGCAGGCTATACACCCATACACATAAAATAAAAGGATAATAATTTTTTTTTAAACTGCTTTTGCGGGGCATGGTGGCGCACGCCTTTAATCCCAGCACTCAGGAGGCAGAGGCAGGCCGATCTCTGTAAGTTCAAGGCCAGCCTGGTCTACATAGTGAGTCCCAGGACAGCTGGGGCTACAGGGAGACCCTGTCTCAAAAAAACCAAAAAAAAAAAAAAAAAAACTGCTTTTTGGAACAGAACAATAAAATAATAACTGAAATATGTTGTTTCTAAAAGTAGATACACAATTCAAGCATGGAAATGTATATAAATAATATCACATAATTTATTCTGTTTGGGGTTTTTTAGTATTTTTGAGACAGGATCTCCCTGTAGCCCCAGCTGGCCTGGAACTCACTATGTAGACCAGGATGGCCTTGAACTCACAGTGATCCACCTGCCTGTGCCTCCAAAGTGCTGGGACTAAAGGCGTGTGCCACCAGGCCCAGCTCACATAATTTACTCTGCACAACAATGTTTTGTTTGTAAGCACAAACATTAATGAGGTGGAAAATGTTAAAGCTTAAGTTCAAAATTTCTACACGTAATTAATAAAACTATACATTTTATAAGCAAAGACTCAAAATTAACCAAAACTATTTTTTTTTCCTCTTTTTGAGATAGGGTGTCTCCCTATAGCCCCAGCTGGCATGGAACTAGCTATGTAGACCAGGCTGGCCTTGAACTCAGAGATCCACCTGCCTCTGCCTCTCCAGTGGGACTGTGCACCACCACGCCCAGCAAAACCATGTACTTTAATTTTATAGAGATTCATTTAGCAACAGTAAACAGTTGAAATAAAATTTAATGTTGGGGCTGGAGAGATGGCTCAGCAGTTAAGAACACTGGCTGTTCTTGCAGAAGATCCAGGTTCGAAGCCCAGCACCCACAAGGCAGTTAACAACTGTCGGTAACTCCAGTCCCAGGGGATCTGACAGCCTCTTCTGTCCTCCGAGGGCATTACACGACACAGATATTGCATGACATGGGTGCACTTACCTACATGCAGGCAATACACACATACACACAAAATAAAAATATTTTTTTTAAGTTTTAAAATTATAATGTTCACAAAATGATCTGAAAATCTTTACCTGGTTATAATAAGCCGATCCAAATTAATTCTCTGTTGCTTTGCAATCCACGCTGTACGATACAACTTTTCAGCTGTCTTAAGCACATCTGCATTTAGCCTCTGAATGAGCTGTTTCTCAGAGTTTACATATAAGCGTTCCTGTTTGAGGTGGTGGGCCAAAGTATGGATATCTAGCTTCACCATCTTCAAACGAGTAGAAGGTACAAAGGTGGATCACTAAGAATAAAAACAACAAAAGTTTATATCACATAAATTCTTTTCTAAAATCAAAAGACTACATTAAGATTTCAATTATATTTAGTGCCACCATTGACTTTAACTTTAAAATAATCTCAATACTTGGGAGATTGAGACAGAAGGATCAGGAGGGTAAAAGTTATTCTTGACTGCACAGTAAATATGAAGCCTAGGAGGGTTACAAGAGACCCTCAGGGTATCAGAAAATAAGAACTATTGTTTGTAGTATTAAAGAGCACAGTCAAGGATGACTCCAGAGCTAAGAAGCAGACAGTGACCCAAAGTGTTTACAAAGGCTATCTCTGAATAAGGGCCTTATTAGGAACTTTTTTTAAAAGTTCCTATTTGGATGCCTGGCGTGGTGGTGCATGCTTTTAATTCCAGCACTTGGGAGGGAGAGGCAGGCACTTGTCTCTGTGAGTTCAAGGCCAGCCTGGTCTACATAGTGAGTTCCAAGCCAGCCCCACTACAGGGAGATCCTGTCTCAAAAACAAAAAACAAAAAAAAAAAGAAAAATTCATATTTGGGCTGGAGAGATAGCTCAGTGCTTAAAAGCAGCTGCTGTTCTTTCAGAGGACCCAAGTTTGGTTACCAGCATCCATATCAGGTGGCTCAAATCAGTGGCAGCAGTGGATCTGACACCTTCTTCTGGCCTCCATGGGCAACTGCACACAGGTGGCAATACACACACAGAAACACAATATACACATAAATAAAATTTTTAAATAAATCTAAAAAAAATACATATTTACCAATTTTTCTATACCTAGCCTACACTGCTTCTGTAATTTTAGAGAACTTTTTGAAAAAACTTTATCTTTACTTTGGGGCTGAAGAGATAGCTCAGTGGCTAAAAGCACTGGCTGCTCTTGCAAAGAACCCAGATTCAGTTCCCAGCACTCACATATTGTCTCACAACCATCCGTAACTCCAGTCCCAGGGAATGAAACACCCTCTTCTGGCCTCCACAGATATTACACACACATCGTTTACATACATATATGCAGGCAAAACACTCATACACAAAATAAATCTTTTTTAAAATTTATCTTTTATTTGTATTTTTATATTTCCTTATTAGGAGAAGGCACAGCATGTATGTGGAGGTCAGAGGATAAATAGTGGGAGTTGGTTCTCTCCCTCCACCATGTGGATCCCAGGGATCAAACTCAGGTTGTCAAGCTTGGCAACAGGTGCCTTTAACACCATCTCACTGGATCTTTTTTTTTTTTTTTAAATTTGTGTTTGGGCCAGAAAAGGGCATTGAATATATGTCATCTCTATTTATTCCTTCAAGGCAGGGTCTCTCTCTGAACCTGGATCTTGAGTTTTCTTGACTAGACTAGAAGCCAGCAAGCTCCAGCAAGTCTCCTGTCTCCTCAAAGCTGGGGTTATAGGCATGTACCCAAACCTGGCTTGATACACAGGCACTGGGATCCAAACTCTTGTCCTCATGATTGCTTGAGAAGCACCTTAACCTCTGAGCCATCTCTCCAACCTCAGATTTTTGTTGTTGTTGAGACATGGTCTCATATAGTTCAGGCTGGCCTTGAATTCCTTATGTACCCAAGAATGATCTTGAACTCCTGTTCTTCCTGTCTCCACCACCCAAGTGCTGGGATTACAGGCATAGGCCACAATGCCTGGTTTATGTGGTGTAGGGACTGAACCCAGGGTTCTGTGCATACTAGGCAAGCACTCTACCAACTAAGCAACACAGTTTTTGTTTTTGTTTTTTCTGAGATAGCGTCTCATATACAGGCTAGCCTCAAACTTATATCATGTAGCCAAAGATGACTTTGACCTCCTAATTCTCCTGTCTCAGCCTCCCCAAATCTGAAATTATAGGCATACGCTCACACACCTGGTGGGTTTTTTTGTTTTTTTTGTTTTTTTTTTTTTTTTGGTCTTTTTGAGACAGGGTCTCCCTGTAGCCACAGGGTCTAGAACTCAGTATGTAGACCAGGCTGGCCTTGAACTCACAGATATTGCTTGCCTCTCTCTCCCAAATGCTCTGATACTATTTTTAACTCTGATTTAAAAATAACTTAAAGCTGGCTAGGTGGCACATGCCTTTAATCCCAGCACTCAGGAGGCAGAGGCACGTGGATCTCTGTGAGTTCAAGGCCATCCTGATCTACATAGTGAGTTCCAGAACAGCTGGGGCTACAGGGAGACCCTGTCTCAAAAAGACAAAAAAAAAAAAAAATAGTATCAGATATAATCTAAATCTATCTGGGGATGTATTAGTGTGGTCGGATAACCATACTCTTTCATATCACAATCAACATATTTGAGAAAATAAATTTGATTCTGTCTTCAAAATAATCTCAACTGAACTACTTTTACCTGCTTCCACTGAGTCTACCATCATCTCACATGAAGACCTATGACTAACTGACCACTCTGATCCCTTTTCTGAATTCCTCAAGTCTGTTCCTCCCCACAGCACAGAATGCACATTCAAGTTAGATCACTTTATTTCTTAACTAGAAACCATACCAAGACTTTGCCTTAAACTAAAATGAAATCCAAAGATCCTAGGTGGTCCTTCCCAGCTACATCTCTAACTAACTATGCCTCTCCCTAGCATTTAATACAGACATCTACTTGCATGTTAACCATCCTTATTGGATGGCTTTCACCATTAAACAGTTTGCGCCATCAGCGCCAAGACTTATCTTCTTTCTTCACTTAGTGTTGTAATACCAAGTAGATAAGGGCCTGGCTCACAGTAGTAGCTGAATAAATATTTGCCAAAGGTATAAATGAAATCAAACAATTTCTTATTTATCTAATAGCTAAACAGATACAAATGCCATACATATTTTAAAGCATTATTATTTAAGTGTTACCTCTGAACCAAGAATACCTGCCAGACCACAAATGTTTTGTGTCAACAATAGAAAGAGCTGCTCTTGAGATAACAGAACACAATATTATATGACCAGAGAGCAATCATTAAGCTAGAAAAAGAATTATCATTAAGAATTGAAGCCAAAGCTGGGTGTGGTGGCATATGCCTGTAGTCCCAGCATTTGGGAGGCAGAGGCAGGTGGATCGCCAGACTTCATTGTGAATTCCAGGTCAGGTGAGGCTACAAGGAAACTCAGTGTCAAAAAACAAAATAAAAAAAACCGGACTTGGTGACTCATGCCTTTAATCCCAGTACTTGGGAGGCAGAGACAGGCAGATCTCTGAATTCAAGGCCAGCCTGGTATACATAACAAGTTCCAGGCCAGCTGGGGCTATAGGGAGACCTTGTCTCAAAAAGACCAAAGAACAACAAGAGCAACAACAAACAAAAGTATTTATTTGGGGCTGGAGAAATGGTTCAGTGGTTAAGAGCACTGGCTGCTCCTATGGAGGATCCAGGTTTGGTTCCCAGCACCCACACGGTGGATCACAACTACCTTCATGCATGTCCTGCACATATATACACTCAGACATATATATACATATAAAAAAAATTTTTTAAGAAAATTAAAAAAAAAAAAGAATTGAAGTCAGGCATGGTGCCAGGGACCCATGTTCAGTTTCCAATATCCATGATGGCTCACAACACTTGTAACTCCAATAAAACTCCAGTTCCAGGGACCAGATGCCTTCTGGCTTCTGCAGGTACTACAAACATATTGGTGCACATATACACATGCAAGCAAAACACATATACATAAAATAAAAGTTTTTTAAATTAAAAAAAATAAAGACGAAGAAACTGGGCATGGTGGTACACACCTTTAATTCCATGTAGAGGCAGGTGGGTTTCAATAGATCAAGGCCAGTCTGGTCTACATAGTGAGTTCCAGGCCAGCCAGTGCTGCATAGTAAGGCCCTGTTTCAAAAAAATAACAATACAGGGCTGGAGAGATAGTTCAGTGGTTAAGAGCACTGACTGTTCTTGCAAAGGACACAGGTTTGAGTCCCAGCACTGACATGGCAGCTAAAAATGTCCATAATTCCAGTTCCAGGGAATCCAATGCCCTCTTCTGACCTCTGCAGGTATTACATGACACAGGTGCACTTAACACACATGCAGGCAATACACTTATAGACATAAAATAAAAATAATAAAATATTTTTAAAAAACAAAAGAAAAATAATTGGGCCAGGCAAGGTGGCACACACCTTTAATCCAAGCACTTGGGAGGCAGAGGCAGGCAGAAAAGATAAATGAAAAAGAAAAAGAAAAAAGAAAAGAATTAAAATTAAAAAAGATAAAAATAATAATAATAATAATTGAACGTCATGAGGTTACCACTCAATGATAAAGCCTAGAATGTGTGAGTTCTTACTTGGGTTTCATGCCAACACCACAAAAGTTAAGAAGCAAAACAAAACAACAACAAAAAAAAATTGTATGAGAAGTAGGTATGTAGGTAACAAATATATTCCTGAATTTTGCTGGAGCCCAGTCAGGTCCCCCAATCTGATTATAACCAAACCATTGTTCAAGATACTGAGTAAACATGAAATGTTTTTAATGGCAGAGCAAAATACAAACCAATTTAAGCAATTTATTAGTTTAAATCTTCAAGTATAACTTTACTTTTTAAAAATTAATAATGTTCTACTTAATCTAATGAGGAACCAATCTTCTAAACTATCTCATAGCCTCAAATGTTTTCAAAGACTTTCTTTTTTTTTTTTGGTCTTTTTGAGACAGGGTCTCCCTGTAGCCCCAGCTGTCCTGGAATCACTATGTAGACCCTGGCCTTGAACTCAAAGAGATCCACCTGCCTCTGCCTCCCAAGTGCTGGGATTAAAAGAGTGAGCCACCATGCCTGGCCCAAAGACATCTTTTTAAAAGATCCAATTCGGATCATCAGGCTTGGCATCAGGTGCCTTTATCCTCTGGGCAAGAAGACATTTTTTTAGAGATCTTTTTAATAAGCCTAATCCACAAGACAAACTTGCTATGTAATTTTTATTTTAGTCAGTTTCAAGATTTATAAGCTGAAAGAAGATACACATAGATT